GTTGAGGTGAAAGTTGAGTTTCAGAAACAAAATCCGGTGAATGAGGTGGTTTTGATTATGAAGGTGGTGGTTTTGATGATTGTGGCTAAATTTGTTGTTGGAATTGTTGTTGAAAGGCCGAAAAATGTTGGAACGGTTGTCAGAAAATTAGTGTTTGTTAGATAGGAGAACCGATTTATAGCAAATTCATAAAACTACATGAGGTTATTCCATTGTCGAGAATTGACGGGGGGTTCTATTTACCGTAAAAGCGTTATCAGGTTTTTCATTTCAGTAGTTTAAATGTGTGTGTGTGTGTGGGTGAGGGGGGGGGGGGTATTTCTGCTGGGATCCGTTTTTGATTGTTGTGAAAATGTTGTGTGAACATTGTGTATAGAGAAAGAAATAATGGTGTGAAACATGAGGGTTAAAAGTGGATAGTTATAGATAAAAAAAATGTTGTTTAAAAAAATTAAATTAAATATCAAACATTTAGACGTTCAACAGCTACTTCATATTGGTTGTTCTCCCTCGTTTTCCCGACCACGGTGTACCACGAAAACGTTGGACCACGATGGGCCGACATGGTGTGCACTGTGCACGGACCACGAGCCATCTCGTGCAACTACTCCCTTCTTATTGGTCGTGGCCAGCTAGACCACGAGCCATCTCGTGCAATGTATACAAGTTAGTCTTATTTCTCTACTTTTGCACCTTCTAATCGACACCCTTGCATATTCGCCTTTATCACCTCTGATTGCTTCCTTCACCCACCTTACCGTCGATTTGAATCTCCTCCCTCTATTTTCTTCACTGATGAGCTACATCTCCTTCCTTTCCTTCTCCACCTCTCACTTCATCCGTAACAAAACCCCAAAATCACCCCTTTGTGACCTAAATATTGTTGCAAGCTTCTGACTGACGACGATCGTTGCCTGCTCCGTCGTCAAGACAATTGTAATGACATATGACTTATGACGACAACCCCATCAACCTAATCGCCGCCTGGCCCATCGTCTCTACCATCACTCTCTGTCGTCAAGCAATTACCACATTTGATCTTCGTCATCAAACAATCGACACCAGTCTCTATCATCAAGCAATTGACACCATTCTCCATCATTCCTCGACCTCGATTGTCAATCTGACCACTACTGGTCTCAACTTCTATTAGTTCACCCTATATATGTATTTTGTATTTCAAGTATCAAAGCATATGTATGAATTTCTATGTCTAAGTTCACGTCTTGCATAAATTTGTGACAATGAGTGTTTGATTTCAGTTTTGTTCGGACCAAATGCACAAATTATCCAAAAACAAATTATCCAAAATTATTTGTGTAATTTACTCTATCAATTAATTAATGAACTTTGGTGGGTTGATAACTTGAACTCTTGAAGTACGAAAGAATGGAAAAAGATTGTTGATCAACAAAATCACCCTTATATGTATTATATGTAGTACTTACTTATATGCTTAGCATTTGACTGGTATTGAGGGGGATAAATCTTACGTTTGAAAATATTAAAGACCTTAGATAACATATAGTTCTTCCTCATACGCTTTGCATTTGACTTGAAATTTAGAGTATTCTACAAGTTTTTATGTTGGTTAAATATTTTTATCGTTGATAATTCTAGTTTGGTGGAGCATTTATGTTTTCTTTTCTTCTCTTACACAAAAAAATTATCCATTTATTTGAAAATGTCGTTTCTTTCTATTTATTTCATATTTTATGACAATCACTATAAAAAATAGACGATATTATAGTCCCACTAGGTGTCAAAACTCAAAAGTTTGCACTACAAGTCTGAATTTCTTCTACCTATTTCGTTTCTAAATATATGACATTTGTTATGGTTTTGGCCCCGGTCCAACAACTAAGTTGTACTGAGGTCCCCACCTCATGATCCACATTCCACAAGTATCAAAAGCATTCTTTCTTATATATTATGCCAAAATTAAATATGACATTTCTTTTACATAAAATATATAATCTGTCGCTTGGTAAATTGGTATGAAACAAAAAGTATAAAACTTGTCACATATAGACATACATCATATTTTGCAAATAACATTAAATCACATCGTAAAGTTTTTCTGATCTAATATGAACAAACATAAACCGTTATGATATTTTAAATAACTTCAAAATCTGTTTTCTATAAAAAGAAGTCCATGAACATTTCTTTCTTTAATCCACAACCCTAATAGTAAATGTAAGAACGGGCAGAATCGTTTGTTATTCGTGGCGGGTTGAGCAAGGGTACCACCAGCTGCATCGTCCCATGGCCGAGCGGTACCGCAAAATGGTAGAAGGTGTGGGCTAGTTAAACTGTTGGAAATTATGAGTGATAATTGCAAGTTGATAATTTCCTTCTATCCCATATTGATGGGATGAATAAATTTTTATGGCTTTATAAGCTTATTTATGTGATAGGTTTTTATAGACTTTAGTGGATCAAATGCACGTTTGGCCTTTGTCTCTCTTATTACCATTCAAATATTTTTATTAAAAAAATCAACTACCACCAACTTACTTCAATTCATTTCCAACAATTTGCAATTTCATTCCATCATTTTCCTATTTCATGCACCTCTTTCCAAAAATTTGAGTCCAATCGTTAGGAAATATGTAATGGAAGAATATCATTATTATTTATCTGCATCCGACAATGTACCTATTGATCTTCATCATTGCTCTGCATTATCTCGAACTGCACAAGTACTTGTCCAGAATAATGCAAATTCTAGCATGTCCAGACGATCGAGAATCATGGTCCAAAAAGATCATGAAGAGGCTATACAGCTTTTGATTCAAAATTGCTTTGCAAATAATGCAACGTTTGGTGAGGAGAAATTCCACAAAAGGTATCAGATGAGAAAACATCTATGTATGCATATTGTTAGCGATCTGGAGATGAATTATCACTACTTACAAACATTATGAGACACAATGTATCAAAGATGTTTCAATGTACTACAAAATGCACATGAGCAATACGTTAACTAGTGTACGAAAACACTTCGTGAGCGATAGATAAGTATTTGAATATGTTAGAAAGAATTCACATGCACTTAAAACTTCTGCCATGGTGTTGTCCAGTTGTATAAAGTTAAATATTTGTCACTACCAATATTTTACCGATACTCAACTTTTGTATAATGCACACAAAGCCAGACATGGATTCCTTAGAATTCTTGGTAGCATTGACTACACATATTGGAACCAGATGAATTATCTAACGGAATGCAAGACCAATACATAAGGGGTGATCAGTGGAGGAGCTAGATGGGGCGTTGGGGTACTACAGTACCCCCAAAAAATTATTATAATATATATATATATATATATATATATATATATATATATAAAAATTATTATTTATAAACATTTTTTATGTTATTGCACCCCCAATTAAAGATATTATAACATGTTTTTTAATGCTCGATATTGGATAACTACATGTAATATATATTGATAATATTTGTACGTCCATATCAAAATTCTGGGTTCTGCTATTGAGGGTGATCATGAATATCCAACAATGATGCTTGAAGCGGCGGTTGCACAGGATCTATGAAAGGGATGGACTACCTCCACCTTAACAAACTTCGTATGAACTATTTAAAATTGACATTTATAATAAAAGTTGCAAATTTTTATAAAAACAATAATCATTTTAGAAATACAGTCAAGTCTTTAACATTAAAAAATATTTAAAATGCGGAAGCATATGAGTGTTTAATAAGATAACAAAGAGTAAACAATGAAATGAATTTGCATAATTTCTTTTTATCCTAAATTTTTTGGGTAAAAGTAATCATTTTGATTCTAAAAAAAAAGCTCTTCTATAGGGACATCTATACTATCATTATGCTAGTTCCAGTCGTGCACACCCATTTCAAACCAAAGAGAACTGTTGCCTCAAGTTAATATAAAAATGTCTCCTTAAATATATGTGGAGTTAATTAAATTTATTTCTAAAAGATATTGATTAATAACATTTTATAGAGTTATCATCCTTCCTGGACCGAACTAATGACCCAAGCATTTGGGGCATGCTTGCAAGCATGCATGACGCCACGGCCCATAGAGGGAAAAGACACAAAACATGGTGTAGGAACATGTGTCTTCCAAACCTTGATTGGAACTTAGACATTAAGACTATTAGCAATCCAATATAATTCAAATTTTTTCTATAAAAAGTAATTTTTTTCTTTTCTATCTATACAACTCAATTAAATACAATTATTCACGTCCATTAACAATTCAATCCAACTTTATTTTATACTAAAAAGTATAAAAAAAAATTATATTAGTATTGCTTTTATTTTGAAGAGAAAAATAAATTATATATTTCAGGATATTTTATTTGATTTTTTTTTACCAAGGATAAAATATAGTTGTTAACTAAAACAGTTTTAAATATAAAAATGAATTTAAATACATCTATCTAATAATCTAAAGAAGACACATGACAATATGAACAAATAAAAAGGCTCGAGCCTTTCGATGAACTCACTTGCTGCAGCCTAAGCCACCAAGTTTATTTCATTTTTCTTTTACTTTTTTTTTTTTTTTTTTTTGGTAAGCCAACCTCAAAACATCATCAATGGAGATAGCCTAAGGCCCTGATAATAGTGTCCCAAGGCACTAATAAACTTCATAAAAGAAAACCATCTTTTATAGATATTATTATTTATTCTTATCTAGAATAAACTTCATAAAAGAAAACCATCTTTTATAAAAAGTTTAGTTTAGACATCATTTGTCTTAAAAAAAAAAAACAAGAACGCTTAAATAGTTTACATATTTTTATAAAAGATGGGAATCTTTTTTATTCTCATTTCCCACCAAATAATCCGATCACTTTAATTATAAAGTTAAATTATTACAACCATAGGAGAATGGTCTGCACGTCACAAGTAGTTCACATCCACGTACTTCAATTATCGGTCAATGCCATGTTTTGTATATATACGCACACAAATGCAAGGTATATCATTCATCACCATTATATTACTTTCCAAATTAAATTTTCCCTTCAAAAAAGAAATATGAAGCTAGTATTGTCAATGCTGTTGATCATTGCCTCCCTAACATTGTTGAATGTAGCAGAATCTTGGGAGGAAGCCGCCGCCACCGGTGGTGGTGGTGGAGTCATTCAGGTCGGTGGCAAAGTGCTTTGTCAAGATTGCACCGAGGGGTGGAACGAATGGGTTAGTGGTCAAAAACCTATTGAAGGTATTAGTTATACAAATTATATTCAACTGTTATTTTAAGATATATTCGACATATAATAAATGTTGATCTCTCGTTTATCATGATCATAATACATGATTTAACATTACAAAGTACTAGTTTTAATTGACTGGTCTCACTTTTTTTTTTTTTTTTTTTTTTTTTTGGGGTTCTTTTGTAGGTTGTACGGTTTCTGTGACATGCATGGATAACAGAAAAAGAATAATTTATTATGGAAGAGACCAGACTGATAAAGCTGGTGAGTTTGTGGTTACCATAAACAAATACATTCATGGGAAGCAGGTAAAACCTGAATCTTGTTTCACAAGGCTTGTCTCTTCGCCTGACCCTATTTGCAACATTCCCACCGATTTTGCTGGAGGCAAGAGTGGGGTGAAGCTTGGTCGCCCGACTATGGTGTATAGGGATACAATCAAACATGTTCTTGGTCCGTTTTATTATACCACGCCTATGTGTGATGAACCTGATACCAATGATGATGATAATTTATATGGGAAGGGAAAGAACTATTAATATACTTATGTTTTTATGATTAAATGAATTCCTTGGTTTGTTTAATTTTGTAATGGAAAAAGACATATGTAGTTTTTTTTTTTTTTTTTTTTTTTGAACTGGCAAATCTAATCTACTCCTAAGTTAACGATACTTATTTCACCTATGTTCATGACGAGACTTGAACCCTCGACCTCAAAGAAGGAGGACACCACTTGATACCGCTGGACTACAAGCCCTTTGGTTAGAAGGAAAAAACCATGTTTATGTTATCGTTTATAATCTTGTATTGGTTATAATTTATAAAAGATCCTTAAAAAGAGTTTTCGTATCCCAATTCTCAAATATGTTTGATGATACACTTTAATATGATAAACTTAATTGACTAATAAAAAAAATAATTGAAAGTTATTTTACAAAATATAATTTTGATTAAAAACTATGATATCTATGAATAGTGGTTTCGTTACATATGTGTACACACAATTTTTAGTAAGTTCTTGCATTTATTCCTATTCCAATCTTCCTCTTCTAATAAAAGAATAGAATAGGTTTAATCTCATATTGACAAGTGTCATGTAATTAGAACCTCTCATTAATAATATATATCAATTATAATGTCACTTGTCAACCTATTAATTATTCATTTTAAACTTCAAATTTCAAATTTTAAATTTCGCACTCTAATTTTATTAAATTAATAATGATTCTTCATTTTAAATTTCAAAATTTAAAATTTCTCCCTTTAATTATATTAAATTAATAACATTAGATTAAAAAATAAAATAAAATCAATATAAATTATAAAATGATATAACTCCACATATTTATTTAAAACAACGATTATAATTTTATATAACTAAAAAATATCTCTTAAGTAATAATTTATTTAAAATAATTTATTAATGATTTTGATTTTTTAATACGAAAGTTTAATTAATTTTATAACCGTGGTTATCACGGGTTATAAACTAGTAAAAGAATATTTGTAATCTCTTTTTGTCATGTGTTACTCTAATATAACTTCTTATTAATATTATTGGATAAGATTATTACACGTACGAAGGGTTTATATTAGACAAATCATTTCAAAATTCAAATATATTTTTTCTAAATATATGTTAAATTTCATTATAATAACTTTAAAATATTGGTATATCTCTTAATAAATAATTTATTTAAAATAAATGATTAATAATTATGAGTTTTTACTATGAAAGTTTAATTAATTAATTTTGCAATCATGATTCCACAAGTTATAAACTAGTTTTTTTAATAAGATTTAGGGAAAAAGTTTTCATTTTACATTAGCTTCTAGTATTTATTTGAATTTTCAAAAATCTTTAAATCCAAAAGTAACTTCAAATAGTGGTTCAACAAAACATTTTTTATAATTTTGTAAAGTTGATTTAATTATAATTTTTTAAATAAATCATTTTATATAATTATATAAATTTTAAAAATTTATGGTTAATTTTATCAAACACTTACATATAAAAAAAAACTATTAACTTTTAATATCAGCTGCCATCTACCAATTAATTATTTTATTTTTTATAAATAATCTCATTTTTCAATTTATGATTCCATTATTTTTAAAATAACCTCAAATAAAAAAATCCCCTTCAGCCACACAAAATAGGAATAACATCATCTGAACTGAGAAATTCTAAACCAAACGTCACAACTTTGTCAGCCACCAAAATCATATGGCTGCAAGAACAGCAATACCCTCACCTCAACTCTCTCTCCTATTAGGAAGACGCGCCACCACCACCACCACAACCACCACCGTCTTTTGCTGGAAACCCACGACTGGAGTAGACAGCAAAAGAGTCCTAAGGGTTTATGCAGCAGACGGAGAAGGAGGCGGCGGAGGAGGGAGGCGGAGAGCACCACCAGGAATCGATACCAGAATCCACTGGGAAAACGAGGATGACGGATGGGTTGGCGGCAGCGCCACTGAATCTGCAACAGAAGAAGACCAGACAAACAACTTACTCGGTGAAAAATTCTCCGAATTACTCAACAATTCCACCGATTCTCATTACCAGTAAGTCTTTCTCCATTCGCTAACACAACTCAAGCAATCTGCAATCGTATAATTGTAATAAGACCTTCAATCAATTCATCAATGGCAGATTCTTAGGGGTGGCAGCAGAAGCCGACTTGGAAGAAATCAAGGCGGCTTACCGGAGATTATCAAAAGAATACCACCCCGACACCACTTCTCTCCCGCTGAAAACCGCGTCTGAAATGTTCATGAGACTAAGAGAAGTTTACGATGTATTGAGCGATTCAGAGAAACGAAGGTTCTACGATTGGACTTTGGCTCAGGAATCTGCAAGCCGTGAAGCCGAGAAGATGAGGGTAAAATTGGAAGATCCGTACATGAAAGATATTGAAAATTTTGTGTCAATTCCAGACATGGTTGATCGACTTGGAGGAAGGAACATGGAGCTGAGTGATCAGGCTAAATCGGCTCTTACTTTTGATATTATAGTAATTTTTATCTCTATTTGTTGTATTATTTACGTGGTTTTCTTCAAGGAACCTTATTAATAGTCATTATGTATAGTTTATACCAAACCCATAGTCAAACATAGTAATTTGTATAGTTTGAAAATTGATAAATACATGTAACACAGTTGTAATGTTACACGGCTCGGAGTGGACAACGCCCTTTGGCGTTAAGCTGAGTTGGACATCAAGAATCGCTGGTATATCGGTTGACACACTGCTCCCTAAACTGTTATACCGCGTTATGTTACCAGGTGTTGCGGTGATAACGGGTAAACGGGCATTTTTCGATTGAAAATTAATTTGCAACGGCCACATTTTTTGATTTTGAACCGTTGTTAAACGGTCAAAAACATTAAAAAAATTAATTTTTAAATTATTTTTACCTCTTATATATATATATATATATATATATATATATATATATATATATATATATATATATATATATATATATATATATATATATATATATATATAGGAAAATCTCCAATAAAGTCCTAAAATTTTGGTCTGGTTTATGTTTTAGTCCTAAACTAATTTTTGTTTACGTAAAAATCCTAAAAACCGGTAAAAGTTTGCATTTTGACCCTTTTTGACTAGTTGAAACCGGTAACAAATTAATTTGGGATTATTTCATAAAATGACTCAAAATATTAGGACTTTTTGCAAAAACAAAAAATATTAGGACTTTTCTGCAAACAAAAACCTTATAATAATAATAATAATAATAATAATAATAATAATAATAATAATAATAATTATTATTATTATTATTATTATTATTAAAAATATAAATAAGTATACAATTTTTTTAATTTTGTTATTATTAATATTGTTAGTAATACATATAAATACATTTAAATTTAAAAAATATTAAAGACATTTTATAAAGGTGAAAATTAAGTGGATGGTAATGCTTTAAGCATTAAAATCATGAATGTCTGTTTGTATATTCTAACTTTGTATATGGTCATTTCATATTTGTTATTATTGTTTTTAATTCAGAATATTAATATTTAACAATTTAAAAGAAGCTATTGATTTTTCAAATTGTTTACAAATAGTGAGCATGTGATATGCATGTATGTCTTGTGTGTAAGTATTTAAATTACCAACATGTGTGTTGCTCTTTTTCATTATTTGATCCTTGTGGTTTTTTGAAAACGTAGTAGATATTGTGTGATAAAGCAAAACAAGTCATATTACTTTCTATTAAATAAGATATTTTAATTAATATTTTCTAATTTTGAAATGGGTCACCAATGTAAATATTTATTGTGGATCTGTTGGATAATAATAATAATAATAATAATAATAATAATAATAATAATAATAATAAAGTTTTTGTTTGCAGAAAATTCATAATATTTTTTTTGCAGAAAAGTCCCAATATTTTGGGTCATTTTGTGAAATAGTCCCAATATTTTGGGTCAGTTTATGAAATAGTCCCAAATTAATTTGTTGACGGTTCCAACGAGTCAAAAATGATCAAAATGCATACTTTTGCTGGTTTTTAGGATTTTTTCGTAAACAAAAATTAAATTAGGACTAAAACGTAAACCTGGCCAAAATTTTAGGACTTTATTGGAGATTTCTCATATATATATATATATATATATATATATATATATATATATACTAGCCGTCTACCCGCGCAAAGCGGCGGGGCATGACCCAACTCTCACTTCTGAGTATGAATTTTGGATAAAAGGTTCTAAAACTGTTCAACATTTGTTACAATCATACTTCACTTGCTGCAACGGAGGAAAAACTCCAGATCTCTTTTGAAATATACATAAAAACCACCCATAGATGCTGGATTGAAGCAAAACAAGATTGATGCTCTCAATGAAGCCTCTGAGTCCTTGAGAACAATAACACAAAGCTTTTAGCAACAGAAAACAAGAAAACAGTCAGGAACACACACACAGGGATATATAGGCACCTACTACCACAAACAAAGATGAATACCAAAATGGATTTTTTTTAATGATAACGAAGACTCCGCCAATAAATCTGGAAAATATCATTACTTAGTTATAGCATGTTCCAAATATTCAAGAGCCTCAACTAATATTTCATTTTCATAAAATTCTGCCCCACAACAATCAATGCATTCACGTACTCACGACAATTTGATTAAAAATAAAGGGGAAATCATAACCCACCATAGTTATCTCCAACCACTTTCTTCCCCACCGAGAAACACACTTGCTAGAAAACCACTGTTCCAGCACCATTAAAAACCTGCCACTATCGCCACCTTATACCGCCAACAACACCAGCTGTTCGAGACCCACTCCTAGTCGGAACACCACCCACATCACACCGTCACTAACCACCACAGCCAACCGGTTCCATCATCGCCATTAAAACCACCTTAAAAAACCGAGAACAAACCACCTGCAAGCTCAAACCATTAAGAAAATAAAAAGAAGAGAAGCGTTGTCGATTTCTTGGCCGTAGAGGAAAGCAAAAGGAAATAGGAAATAGGTTTTGTGGGGCAAAGATAAATGCGATGCCATTGTTGTTTTCCATTAATCGGTGTTTACAACCAGTAGCACCTACCATTGTTAAGACTTAGACAACTCCAAAGGAAAAATCAAACCAAGAATACCCCTTATAGTTGTAAATGACATCTAAGGGCACAAAGGTCATTACTCTAGAAAATTTTTAACATTAACAACAACAACCAAGCAGATCAAGAAGGGGCATCATACCTGACATCTAACCATTTGGCAACAAAATACTCCAAGGAATGGAATCTCAAATTCAAATTCTATTAGTCCCAATACTGCATCAGACCTGACATCAACTACAAAAAAAAACATTAGAATTAGATCTTCAACATCAGACCTCAATTAAGTCAATAAAAAATGACAAAAAAAACATCAACCTTAAAACATTTTTAAAAACTGAATCAGACCTGACTCTTTTACTCGAGTTCCTAGATTAATTAACCAGTTTCTCCTTAAAATAAGAAAACTCAGTAGCCCCTCTCTCTATTTCAAACACATCATCAACCAGTAATTTCTGATGTCTTAGTTCTCATCTGTTAAGATGCCCATTATTGATTCCTAGACGACCCTATACACAAAATACCAAGGTTAGCACTAATTATGTTGTAGAATGGCCCTTTTACTCAAATAACAAAAACCTAAATAAAACTTTTTAAGGAATACATGCATGCCTTGTTTTTATGCCTTTTAAAAGGCAACCAATGTCACACATACAATCGAGACTATTTCTCACATAAATAGTTAAACACACTAAAGAATGGTAAATTAGAGAGAAGATGAAGTGGAGAAATACCTTGAAGATCCTGGGTGAAGTCTTCAAATTACTTGTCATATATGTAAGTAGCATGTAAATATGGGTAGAAACATGCAACAAAACCAAACCAAGAGCAAAATCAGTAGAAAGTGAAATCAACAATCTATTCAGGACCTGCATTTTCATTCCAACTTCCAGTTTAATAACCATTTTTATGAGAAAAAAAAAACTCTTTTTAACACAAAAAATTGGCTAAAATCTTCCTAATATCTTGAAGATTTACATTGAATCATCACCTAAAAAAGAAATGTGGTTGTTTGTTGTTTTCTGCTTTCATGCACATCAAATATTATGTTGGATGGTGAGGCTAACTTTGGTCCTGAAGAGGTCCTGAATTTATATGGGTAAAAGTAAGACCAAGCAACACTGAACTTGCCATTTGATATGCAATTTGATTGGGGATTATTATCAAACACTTGGTGTGCAACCTTTTCTCATTCCTACGACTCGAGTTGCAACTATGAAAACATCCATAAAATGATCCACCCTGCTTGTTCAATCATATTGCACATCTAGGAAAGGTTTCACTCTCCTGGAAACTCTATTTGCTCTTGCAAAAAAGAACAAAAAAATCTCCAATAATGATACAAACGTATGGTTAAGACTTGTTTCTTATGTAAAATCAAGAGTGATAACGTCGAGTGTGAAAGGAATTTTGAATTAAAAGAGAGCAAAACCCAGATATGCCTTCGTATGTGAAAGAAAACCACCCATATATGCCTTCATATTTTCTATCGCTGTGTGCATATATTTTCACAGCTGTGGGATATGGTTTCAAGGAGATAAAGAGAAAAGGGAGTACCTGTATCAAAAAGATATTCAAATTCAAATATTGAACTCAAGTACAAATGAAAAGGTTCCATATTAGGTCGGAAGATCAATCTAATCAGATCGATAATAGATGAAAGATTCAAATTTAAGTGAATTAATTTAACAATGATTATACCATTCAGATTTAATTTAACGAAATACCATTCTGTAAAAAGCAAAATTGAAGAGACTAACCTGTTCAAGACAACAACGAAATGCACAAAGGAAGAAGAGGCAAGAAAGAAAATGTTTGTTCATATTCGTAACTGCATTGAGCGATCCTGACGAAGTACACGCTGTCCCATACGATCCCATTTTCAATAGCTGCGGCGATGCGAGGAGAAGAAGAACGGATATAAAGGAAGGGGGCACGAACTGAAAAGATTTTATCCGAGATCTTAGCTTTTTCACAACTCATTGTTTGGAGTAAGGAACTGGGTCAAACATGATGTATAGGTTAATTGTACTTTGTTTTTCATGTTTTGTACTATTTAAAAAATATTATTATTTTATTAATGGCTACTTGTACCTATAGCTTAATGATTTGAACGTCTTAAAAAAATATTATTGTTTTATTCAATCTATTTATAGAAATAGTTAGATTTCTTTTATATAGTAATATATATATATATATATATATATATATATATATATATATATATATATATATATATATATACACACACACACACCCCTTTATTTTTTTATCTACAATTTTATATCCAACCTTTTTAATTTCAAATATTCAAAAAATTCTCCTTTCTTTACTATGGATCAAAACCCCAAGACTCGTCTTCCATTATATCTATTAAACGGTTTTACATCACTAAGATCAGCAACAACAATCGACAATGTTTTATTGAAATCATCAATAACAATCAGACAAAGCATAAAAAACTATATAAACTTTTAAAAACTATTTCATCTCTAACAAAATATATTTCGATTCCTGAGTTTAACTGTTTTTTACTATGTATGTTCCAAAAAAAATTATCTTTTATTTGAATGATTTTGTTGCTTGTTCAAAAAACTTTAAAAGAAAATTCAGATATGAACATAATTTTAAGACTGGCTTTTTGGAACCAAAACTACAAAAAACCAGCTTGACTTAGGTTTTATGATAAGGAACCTTATTACTAGTTAAGAACACAATTTTAAAGGTTTTTTTATGACACTAAAATCACTGACAACAAAAAAGACAAGACTAAAAGATCAAGAAAAACTTTTAAAGACTTTCATGAGTTCCACCTTTAACAATTTATATTTTTTGATTTTTAAGTAAAAACAAAAAACTTGAAGTTTTGGTTTTGGTCCTTCAAGTTTCTAAAAGATTTTGGTCCTCGTCCAAAAATCACTAAAAAACTTCCAATTTATGAACAAAATTGGAAGACAACTTTTTGGAACCAAAACAATAAAAACCAGTTAGACAGGACAAAAAATGTAATTTACTTTTAAGAAGAAATGAATGGTTTTTATTTTTTATGTCTTTCACATATGAGAGACAATGGCGGTACCATGTGCTACCCCTCAAAAAAATTCAAGTAGTATAAAACTTTTGAATTTTTTTTTTTGATTTTTTTGTTTTTTAAAGTTAAGTTGTTAAGATGCGACCCCTAAAATATTAGTGTGCTACCCTTATACTGGAATAACACAATGATTGTAGAAGGAAACAATCGTTGAAAGCCTGAAACTAGAACACCCCGCTCCCGAGTTCAACTTAAAGAGAGAAAAGAAAGAAAATGAGAGGAAATGAGGGGAAAGTAAGAGAGAATGGTGCTCCCGAGTTTCATTAAAGGAAGGAAGTGGAAGGAAATGGAAGGAAAACTTTCCCTCCTAACTTTCCTCCCGATTTGGAAGGATTTGAAAAGAAAGAACAAAATGTTTAACTTTCCTTCTATTTCTCCCCAACTCGGGAGCACAAATGATAATTTCTTTTTTCTTTCTTTTCTCTCCTTACTTTCCTTTCTCTTTTCTTCTTTTCTTTGCTACAACTCGGGAGCGGGGTGGAAGGTTAAAACTTGTTTCCCAATGAAACGGAGACATATGTTTTGTTCTTCAACACGTTATGTTCAGTTATTTTTATTTTTGAATTGATTTGCTTACTTATTATAAAGCTTGTTCTTTTTGTTGTTTGGGAAGAACATAGACACAAGGTATTAATCTCACATTTTCATTTACATGTTTCATTTTGTGTTATTGTCTTTATTAACAATATTATTTCACAATGGGTTTGTGTGGCTGAATGGCGTATATTATACATCGTTTTCAATGCATACTAATTGTTTGATAAAATGTATGAACTAAAAGTAAAATTTTTATGGGATGGAATATACCAAGATTGCTAAACTTCTATTTTTCTAACATTGTACTCTATCAGTCCTAATCTTTATCTTCATTTCAAGCATTTGTTTGTCTTAAAGTACAATGCAATATATACACAAACCATGTAACAATTGGAAGATATAATGAACACAAAAAGCACAACACCCAAGTTGATAAAAAACAAACACATACAACTTCAACCCACCAAGGAAGTATTAGCAGCAAGATGTGTGAGAGATTGTTTATGGTACAAGTTGCGAAGCCTCTTGTACTTGTGAGTGAAAGCAGTAAGATCAATCTCTCTATCAAGAAGCTGTTGGTGTAAAGCCTCTGATTCCTCTTCTGTCTTATGCATCGACTCTGCAAACATTCACCACTATTGTCATGAAACATGATTATAACATAAACTACAAGGGCCTTAATGAAAATTGGCCTTAATGAAAATTATTATTGTTATTATTTACCTTGAAGACGATGAAGTAATGATGTGGGAGAGTAAAATCTGAGGATTTCTTGCTTCTGCTTTTCTAGTTCATTCAGCTTCTCTCGGGCAGTTGCCAGTTCGGTTGCCCGAATTATTTGACACTATAAAAAAAAAAAAAGAATGTTTTATATTTATCTGATTGAATTTTATTTTATGATTCCATTCCATTGTTTTGGATTCCATTCCATCATCCTAAATAGACTAACCTGGTTTCGAAGCTCCCTGATGTGTGGTTCTTTTTCCAAGTTGTGTTCTGTATAAAATAATCAAAGCATGTTCATGTTGAGTGTTGAGTATACATTTTATTAATTCAAAGCTGTGTGTTATTGGTTATTATTTATATTTAATTATTTATACATGAATAATGAATTAAACAGATTATGGAAGAACTTACTTGCAAGCTGTATAGTTTCATTTCGCAGTTCATTCCTCAGCTGATATTATAACCAATGAAAAAAATTAGAAAAATGTGACTTTTTAATGCATAAAAATGTACTTTTGTCTCAAAAAAAATTCAAGAATAATGTTTGATTATGTGTTGAATATTAGCTCTAAAACTGTAGATGATGACTTACATGAATCTGATTTTGGACAATGTCAAGTGAATGTAGAAATTGTTGATATGCATCTTTGTTAGACAAAAGCTTCTGCAACTCGTTAGCACTAGAAGAATTTGAGAGGCAAAAAAGGGGATTCAATAGAAAAAAACTTGCAAATTCTATATCATGAATATCTGACATGAAATTATGAAGCTTTTAAGTAATTGTGTAGAATATGTTAATGAATTGAAGAAGAAAGAGAACCTTTTGTCTTTTAAGACAACAACAATCCCAGCAGCTTCATTAGGTGGAATGCGGGATACTACTGGTCTATCTCCATATGACTGTTCATTATGCTGTTCTTCAGAACCCCTAAAAGGAAAGAAAGCTCAAAGAAGTGAAAAAAAGACACAAGTAGTTGCTTTTCGAGGTTAACAGTGATAAAATTGATCTCCTTGTAATGAACTATTACTTGAATTGGTAAAAGAAAAACATTAAGGAGTTGTAAGACTGAAAATGTTCGCAGATTTTGCATTTGGTAAAAGGTAACTAGGATTTGGGAATTAAAAGTTGTTTCAACTAATTCAATGTGACTCTAATCGATATATATTTGATCAACTATGGGAAGTACCAAATCGATTCCGGAAACAACTTCCAGTTCTCTAAAATCGTTTGATTTTTATTTTATTTTATTTTATTTTATTTTCTCCGCCTCTTTTTCTCGAAAATTCTGGTTTTTGCATACGCGTTTATGGATAAAATCTCAATAATGGTTTGAAATCAGTCGATTAAAAGAAAAGTAAAATCGCAATCTTTATACAGAGCTTCAACAAAAGTTAAGAGTAATCCAACAATCAGATAGATCAAACCCTAAAATTGAGGGGAAGCGAGAGTAAGAAGATTACCAGAAGGATTTGAACATGATTACAAGGGATACAGGCTTGTTGAGTGAGAATCTATGCGAGCAAAGATGAGCCTTGAAGTTTCTGAATTTTTTTTTTGTTTTTCAATTATTCGGACAATATCATACCATGAAGCCGTATGATTTTCCGTCTTTGCTTGCTTAGGTAGCGAAGACCACTTGTGGGTCCATTTGGAAAATAAGGAGTCTCTTTGTCCAATAATATAATAAGATAAAGGTAATTAACAAAAAAAAAAAAATATTTTTTGAGAATTTAATAAATAACCGTCTTATGTGGAATCCCATAGATGGAATAGTTATGTCGATTTCCATCAAATACGATTTAAAATTATGAGCTCATATTTATATATACATATACTAGGTGTGAAACCCGTATATTACACGAGTTTATTAAAAAAAAAATTTGGTAACCACAAAGAAGTAACGATTGAATTTATGACATTTTGGTAAACCGTACTATTTATATAATTTGGTCTTAATTAATCTGTACTAATAATATTAATTAATATGAATTTACAAATGAAATGTATTATCTACATTAATATACATATGCATTAATTAATATATTAATAGAAAGAGAAATTAAAAATAGAAAATAATTATGTATATTAATGAATATATTTATAAAATTAATTAATATGAAGTGACATTTGAGATTTGAATAAAAAAGAAAAAAACTATGAAAAAGATAAGTAGATATAAAATAATTCAAAAAAAATCTAGAAAATTATAAGTACCATACCAACTATAGTTGGTATAAATTTTTTGCTATCAGTACCGTATCAACTATACTTGGTACCAACTTGTTTGGTACAAACTGGTAATGATATATTACAAACGTTGATCTAATTTTCAATTGTAATACTTAAAGACGAATCACAATATGAGACACTTTTCTCGTCTAGTAATATAAATTAGTAAATTAACTATTCTAGTTACTAAGAAATTTTAAAATTATTAACTAAGTCGAATGTATAATATAATATTTTTAAAATCGTAAACAATAAACACTTCACATTTAAAAATACGATTTTGATTATATATATATATATATATATATATATATATATATATATATATATATATATATATTGGTTGGTACAGTAATACCATGATATTTAAAATTTAATACTATTCCCGTACCAAAGTTTACTGAATTGGTACAGTATTACCAACCAAACATGTTGGCTACCATATATATTGATAACCAACTTTCTTGGTTCGGTTGGTAACATGTTGTTTAGTTTTCCGTGGTATATTTGATAGCGTATAAATAATAATAATAATTGTGACAATCGAAATTAACTACTATTGTCAAAGTCAATCGAAGTGGGCTGGCCTGTTTTGCATTTCTTTTATGTCCGTATGTCACCCAAATGAATAAATACAACAAGATGTTGTAAAGTATGCAGCAAAACATATACCTTGTTTTAAAATTGCCCTTTTCAGCATTGGAAAGCAACAGATCCTGCAAAAAGAAAGTCAAATCACATCAAAACATCCAAAACCTAAGTTAATTAAAAGACATCAATTAAAACACCTTATTCACAAAGAAGATCATACTCCGGCCATACAGTGAATGGCGTCCAATGTTCATTTTCTTATGATACCTTTAATGTGCCCAGGTCACCTCATTCCAATGATGAACATGGCAAAACTCATAGCAAAACACTCTGCCACCGTCACCATCGTCATCACACCTCGCAACGCCGCCAGGTTCGGGGGATTCCTCCACCGTGCCGTGGCGTCCGGCCTCTCAATCCGAATCCTCCAACTCCAATTCCCAGCCACAGGATACGGATTACCAGAAGGATGCGAAAACTTAGACGATCTACCCACACTCAAGTTGACCAAGAACTTCTTCGATGCAAGTGCAAAGCTTCAAGAACCACTTGAAGAGGTGTTTGAAGAGCTTAACCCGAGGCCAAGTTGTATCATTTCCGACAAGAGTTTATCATGGACAGCAGATGTTGCAAGAAAGTTTGAGATTCCATGGGTTATATTTGATGGAATGAGTTGTTTCACTCGGTTAGCTACACATAATCTGTTAGATTCCAAGATTCATGAACAGGTGGGCGATTTCGACCCGTTTTTGTTGCCGGGTTTACCGGATAAGATAACCATGACTAGATCCCAGCTTCCGGGGATGTTTAATCCTGGAAAGGGTGCACATGAAAAGGGCATAAATATTATACGTGAGAAGATTAGATCAGCCGAATTAGGAGCATACGGGATAGTTATAAACAGTTTTGAAGAGATGGAAAAAAGATACGTCGATGAATATCGAAAAGTGAAGGGAAAAGTTTGGTGTATTGGACCATTTTCACAAGCGAACAAGAATGATATAGATAAAGTTTCAATGGTGAATAACCATGAGTGCATCACTTGGCTCGATTGTCAGAAACCAGGGAGTGTAGTGTACGCGTGTTTTGGGAGCCTAACACGACTCACACCTCCACAGTTTATAGAACTGGCTCTAGGGTTAGAGAAGTCAAAGTTCCCGTTTATATTAGTGGAGAAAGGAGGAAGTAGAACAGAAGAGATAGAGAAATGGTTGCTGGAAGACGGGTTTGAAGAGAGAGTGAAAGGAAGAGGTGTTTTGATCCATGGGTGGGCCCCTCAAGTTCTCATACTATCGCATCCTTCATTAGGAGCATTCTTGACTCATTGTGGTTGGAATTCGACTATCGAAGGGATTTGTGTGGGTGTTCCGATGATCACATGGCCTCAATTTTCTGAGCAGTTTTTTAATGAGAGGTTGGCTGTGGAAGTAGTGAGAACTGGTGTGGGTGTTGGGGCTAAATCAGTGAGGTATTTAGGGGAAGAAGATGCAGCTGGGATACAAGTGAAACGGGAGGACGTGTGTAAAGCTGTGAAGGTGGTGATGGATGAAGGTATTGAAGGAAAAGAGCGAAGAGAAAAGGCTCAATATTTTAGGGAGATGGCTGAAAAAGCATTAGAAGAGGGAGGAACATCTTGGCTAAATTTGAAACTCTTCATTGAAGATATCATGCTACACACGAATAAGGACATGGCAGGCTAAGTTGTAGGAATTGCTAGTGATGAATCAAGATTTCTGTAATGATTTTTATTTTTCATAGCTTATGTTTTTGTTTGAAAAGTGCATGTTCCTCAAACAAGTTTTTCATACCATGAAGGTAATGGAGTTATGTCTATTGGAAAACTATAGAAGTTTTGAAAAAAATTAAAAGTATATTTATATGTAATCAATATTACAAACGTGCACATGTTGTGGTTAGAAACTAATACACAGGAAATAACAATTTACAATATACACCACAAAGTACTATTGTTTTTGTTTATTTTTAATATCCCCTCAAGCTAAACTTGAAGTCTAGTGACTAATAAGAGTCTCTTGGTTACGTGTTAGAATGATATGACAAATTTAGACGGGTGTTCAAAAAAGCTGGTCAACAGAAGAGATGAAAAGTTTGTAGATGCTAGAAAACCAAAAAGGGAAGCAATATTCATTAAATCGAGCATGTCGTATGATATAAACACGAGATGTTGTCGGATCAAGGCAACATTAACCTTTATACTGAAAGCTATAGCCAAGAAAATGCATGGAAGGCTTCTTAGCGAGGGCTTATGAGGATCATAGTCCCAAAGATAAGGGAAGATGTGACAACCAAAGGTTTGAAAATTGCTAAAAATTGGAACCTGACAATATAGTAGGATCATCCATAACTTTTGTGGGTAATCTATTGATGATGTAAGTTGCTGAACTAAATGTATGAACCTAATACATGGCAGGAACATGAGCATCAAAAGCACAGATAACCTGGTTTCAACAATGTGGCGGTGTTTCTGTTCGACATATCCATTTTGCTGAGGTGTGTAAGGACATGAAAGTGTATGAAACATACCATTTTCTGCCAAAAAGGCACAAAAATTATTATTAACAAAGTCCTTTCCACCATCACTCCGAAAGGTTTTAATTTTCCATCCGAACTGTGTTTGCACAAGCTTCATAAACATGGTAAAAACAGAAAAGAAAGTGGCTTTCATCTTTAGCGGGTAAAACCAACTAAAACAAGAATGATCATCAATAAAGACCACATAATAATGATAGCTATCAACTGATGTAACATATGTAAGTCCCCACAAATCACGGTGAATTAAGTCTAAATGATGCAAAGATCATATATTATTGATATCAAATGATAAACGATGGCCTTTCGAAAGTTGACAAGAAGAACACACAATTGGTTTACGTAAAACCGAAGTAACTGAAAAACATCCATACTTATTCAAAAGAGAAATAATGTCATACGCAACATGGCCAAGCATATTGTGCCATAATTCGAATGAAGCTACCAAACTTGAACTCGAAACAACAACAAAAGCTTTGTATCCGTCTTCAAGAATATATAAGCCCTCCTCACATTTGCCCTTTGTGAGAACCTGTTTTGTTAGTCTGTCCTGAATATGAAAGAAAGGTTGAGAACATATGACATGTTGGAGGAATTAGGGTTTATTTGGAGATCTAGAAACCCCTTGGATCGTGTGAACATTTTATGAACTGATATTTCTATCCAATACTCGGGTTACAAAAAATTCAGCCTAGGATAATCCAAGAGTACACTTACGAATCTAGGCACATAAATCGTAAGCCAAATTGCTAAAAGGATTCTATGTTCATCTGAAGAAAAGAGAGCTAATGGTTGCGTGTTTCCCTTCTCAAAGAGAAGTTCCGTTTATTTACAATAAATCAGATTTAGGGTTTGCCTCGTAGATTTAGCCGTCATGGGTTGCTTTTGAATCAAGTAAGGGAAATCCGAAATTTAATGAGGAAATCAAAGGTTTCCAAAACTGACAAATTTTGTTAGTTTTACCATAATCACCCTCAAGAATTCGATTTCCCAGCTAAGGCTCTGCCCCTTGGACCCCGCTAGAAGCGCTGCCCTTAGACCCCGTCAAAGGAGCGCTGCCCCTTTAGAAACCCCGGACCTAGGGGCGCTGCCCCCGGATCCCCGACTTATCGTCGAACCGACTTCTAATTCAATCTTATACATGTGTGCAATCCACACATACCCATACATATACTAGAGTACAAATTATGAAGCCTCTTACCTCACATGTGAGTTCCAATTACATAAAATGACATGGTGATACTAAAATCACCAACAAGACATTCACGAGATTATTTGTGGTCAATTTGCTTATAGACAGAAGGTTCTTTGTAATATTAGGAATAACAAAGACATCATATAATTGTATGTTATTAGACACTGAAATAGGAAGAAAAATACCATTTCCAAAGGTAACCTTCGAATTCCCAGTGTATGGTGAAGCATTAGAGACGGTGTCATGTGATGGTGTCATATGAGCGATGGCACCCAAATCCACATACCAATCAGGAGTAGAAGATGTGACATGACATTGTGCCTGAAAATCTTGTGCAAGGTTGGCATCCGTAGATGGTGCCTTTATGACATAACTATGTAAAGTACGGCAAGAATTAGCATAATGACCATTTTGGCAACACAACTGACAATGTGGGGGATGAAGATTAGCACGTCCTCGTCCACCTGAACCACCTCTATGATAGGATTTATTTAAATAGACACGATCTCTAAAACTATTCTTTTGGTGATATTCTTGTGCAGTCAATGCAACAAGATGTGTGCAAAACCATGGAGAGACTTCAAGAAAAGTTCATGACATTCAGCCTTAGCTAAAAGATCATGATAACTAAAGCTAGTTGTTGATGCCCGTATAGCAGTGGAAGAAGTCTCAAAAGAGAGACTGAGGCCACAAAGAAAACAATGAATTCGGTTAGTTTCATCAATAGGCTGACCAATGGCAGATAACTGATCATAAATACTTTTAAACTTCCTACCAAATTCGACAACGGATGAGTTGCCTTTAGTGGTTTGATGAATTTGATCCTGTAGGTTCTATATGATGGAGAATAGTGCCCATAGTAATAACCAAGTATGGTAATATTACTATAAATAGCAGTGTTCTTTTGGGTTACACGAAAAAACAAAATGATGTAGATCTAAAAAGATATTTATTTAAGGGACTTATTTTGTTAATTAATTAACAATTTAATCAATTAATAGTAAATCAATGGAATATGGTGCTGGATTAGTGTCTAATTCTATAACTATATTTGGTATATACTTGACCCGATTGTAGCATGGTCATTTTGGGTTGCCTTCACCAAAGCAACTTGACTGGATGGATTATAGAAAAAGAGGTTATTATGGTTTATTAATATATTATATGAATAATATATTAAAGGAGAAATCATATTTGTTTAATTAATATTGGTCTATAATTAATTAGGAATTAATTTTGTGATCAAAATATATTAATTAAAGCTAGGGGACTGATATTGTAATTATTGGATAGTTGCAAAGTAGGCTGAGGAAACCCTAGAGATAGGGTGGACGAATTTTTGTGGATAAGGCCTTAAGAATTCGTCCAAGGTAGGGATTCTAGAAGATTCTTATGGGCTGCTTAGAGCCTAAGCAACCGGATAAGTGTTTGACTGAAACCCTAATTCCTCACCTATATAAAGGGACCCTTGGCTAGCTATTTTTGGTTGAACAATAATCCTAAGAGTTCTAGGAGCCGAATTTTAGCATTCCCCCCCCCCCTTCTCTATCCCTCTCTCTTTTCGCCTCTCTCTCTCTCTATTATTCCCCAACTTGCTTTGGTGTTTGTGATCTATTAGAGGCACAACATTTGAGGTGCTAAATTCTCAAAAGCTAAAGATCTATAATCTACAACCAAGGTAATCATCTAAACTTGTTTTATTTGTTATTTTCGGATTTTGTATGCTAGATCTAGGGTTTATAACTTTGGATGATTTGCATGTACAATTAGAGAAACCTAGATCCAAAGCTTTAGGGTTTGCATGTGCACCATATGATTGATGTAATGCTCAAAAACCATCAGTGGTACTAGAGCCTAAGCTGTTTTCTATTGTATTTGATGCTTCTTTGATCATTCATTGCTTTAGAAAATCAAAAATACTGCCCTCTGACAGCTTAACTCGTCGAGTCCCCAGATGAACTCGACGAGTCCATTGAGTGACTCCGCGAGTTGGAGTGTCAGGGAGCAAAAGTTTCAGGATTTTGATCTATTTTTGATTGGGATAATTACCAAAAATATTTTTGATTAATAAAATCTGAATTTTATTTAATAAATGTGATTATCCTTATCAAAATAGAAGATAATTGCAATTTAATTAGATAATTATTGCCTTATACGATAATCCTTAATTATTTGAATTATTTGATTGCATTATCTTGCCATGTAATTGGATTAGGTTAAATTTAGATAAATACCAATTAGTTGTTTAATTAAATTATTTGTAATTTGATCTAGATAGTTTTTAAAAGTTTCAAAACTTGCCCTCAAGTTTTGGAATTTAAAATTTTGGTTAAAAGTTTAATTTTGAAATATTTAAATTCTAAACCCTAGAGATTTACAAGTTTATAATTCAACCCTTATACTATTATAATATTATCAGATTAATAATATATATATGTATAAGATTAAGCTAGTCTTACCGTTAGTAGGCCTTATTAAAGAAGCTGATCTATAAGGAGGGGGGGTATAAGGTTGCTGCCTATAAAATGATAGTTTAATGGGTCTCCACTCTCACCCTCCACTACCTTGATTGGTGGAGGGTCATTAGCCGAACGGGTAGAATATGCCAACTAATTCCTCATTAAAAGTATAATGATTGTATAAAGAAACTAAATGCTTTTATAAAAAATTCCCAATCTTAGTTACTTTAGAAAAAATGTGAAATGATGCTATTCCAATCTTAGTGATTTTTGATGGGACCAATTTCAATGATTGGATTCGTAATATTCGCATGGTTACCCGATACGAGGACAAGGAGTATGTTATTGACAGGGAGCTAAAGGAGGTTGGGACCAACACTGCTACTCCTGAAGAGATTGTTGCGTTCGAAGCTCACGAGCGAGATTATATGACAGTTCATTGCATCATGCTTGCAATAATGACTGCTGAACTCCAGAAGTCCTACGAGGACTACTA